ACAGCGTGCTACTTTGCTATGCATCTATCTCCGGTTTGGACCGAAGAAGCGTGGAATCTGTCATCATGCATATTTAAGGGATATCTCGTCTGATCAGGACTAGCAACTCAAGGGGTATTCCATTTAAGTATTCAGCGAACATATGGTCTAGCAATCTTTCTCCAACACGTCGTGTTATCTGGCCCAGTGGTGGCATACTATTTATGGCAATAATGCAGTCTTCCTTGTCTTGATGGTGTGTCTGTGGCAATAAGAAGCATTCAGCAATCGCTACATTACGCGAGTCAATACATAGAAACATCCATCGACAGCATTCCTTCATCTTGATGCAGGGAACTTTCTAGAGGTTCAGAAAGGTCTTAATTCAAAGGATGAGACTCTGTCTGAAGGGGCTTGCCGTTCAAATCTTTGGACTTTGGCATCTCAGCAAACCATGACGGTGGCGCTATCCCGGTCTGTTCATGGATTGTGCTCAAGATAGGAGGGAGGCCCTGCATAATATTTCGAATCGGTGCCATCGCATCTGGCGAGCTGTTTCCATGGTCTATTACTTTGTCAGAGTTCGTGATAGTTTTTCCAGTAGAAGACATGTCGGCAATACTAACCTCCGGTATTCCAAGTGGTGATCTTCGGCTGGAGGCCACTGATGGCACGACCATTTGCATCGGCCAACCTTTCATAAGTGCCAGACTCCAACATTCTGTACTGCAGGAACGCCTGAGGACCACCGAGAACATCAACAAGCGCACCATATGCCTTTGCCATCTCGAGGATTCCTTCGGCTTCTCGCTTTTGAGTGTAGAAAGCTGCATCTGCGTCTTTGCTCTGGCGATAATCTATGGAGATGTCAGCATTAGTCTTTCGCTGAAGGTCATCGACAACTTACAGGTTGCGTCTGCTTCCATTTTACGCTTATACAACTCTGCATCTGCCGCCTTCTGTTCCGTATAAAAGGCAGCGTCGGCCTCTTCCTGGGAAGACTCACGCTCAACCTTGCTTTTTGTGACCTGCTCGGCTCTAAGACGTTCCAACTCCGTCTCTGCGCGCTTGCTTTCCACTTGTTTCTGCAACTCAGCGTCTCTCATTTCCGTCTGACGCTGAGCTGCGATCTTGTTAAGTTGGACATCAGCATCCAGTTCAGTTTTGCGGTTCGTAAGCTCTGAGTCTGCCTTGGCCTTCTCCGCCTTGCGCTTTGTTTCTAGAACAGCAGTGTCGGCATCAATCTTGGAAATCTCCTGCTTGGTTCTGCCCTTTTTCTCTGCCTCTCCAATTTCACCTTTCATTCGTGCCTCTGCAACATCAATCTTAGCTTGGTTGAGGGCTCCCTCGTGAGCCTTGCGACTCAGAAAAGCAAAATATTCGCTTCCAGGGGTATCTTGAAGCTCCTTTACATTGGCATTATAACTATGCTTTGTCAGAATTGATGATACCTCCATAAGGGGCTTGAACTTACATTCTTAGACCAAATTGCTGAAGTTCATTTTGAACGTTCTCAATTACTTCCTCGGATGTCAGCAAGAACAGTAACCCAGCTAGTCAGCACCTCGCCACTCACCTTTCGTCTTGAATATCTGTCTCTCTTTGAAGATCTCCTCCATGGACATGCTAGAAACAATCACTCGTGTCTCGCCTTCGATGATTCCTCGAACGATATCCTGGACATGGTTCTGCTTTGCTTTGCTATTCAGGTCCTTCTTTTGGGCAGGATCAGCCTCGTCTGTGCAGCCCGAAAGAAGCAGCGCATATTTCCTGAGTGCGCCCGGCTCATTGTCAGGGCCGATGGTAAACACTGCTGGCAGAGAAAACTGCAGCTTCTCGATTGTCATAGCCTGTAGGCTAAGCGAGAAATCATACGGTGCTACAGATATCCTCGAACACTACTCAAGAACATGTCAGCTATACTCTTGGCACTTCTCTGATTGAACCATACCCGCTGAAGTGGCCACACAAATGCCTTCTTGCATACTTTGATGTCGTCAATCCCGGCTCCAGTGAGCACAAGATATTCGCTCGGTCGAGATATCGCGTACCTATAGCATGCATTCATAAGAGACAATCTTCGACTTGCATTGACTTAGAGACTTACCACATGGCTGCGGTTTGTGGAGACCTGAACGATATTATAAATCAGTAGAAAAGGCTTTAAATGGTACTGTCGATCTTTCTTGCTCGAACAATCTGATGAAGTGTAGTATACTAATCCTTAAGCATATAGCAGGAAGTTGACTCATGGCACGAGGGCGTCTTTATATTCCCTCGTCTTTACATTACGCTATTACTACAACATCTGTTCGAGGCTTCCAGGAACCGAGGACACCAGGGCGCAGTCATCCATCGTGCGTGTGACTTTCATCATGAACTTTGTGTACGAGTTTACGAAGGGCAACTTCCACGCACAACGATAATCTTTATACCATCAGAGTAGTGATCAGTCTCCGGTCATCATTATAGTATGAGGCATAAAAAGCTATACAAAGCCTTGGCAGCGAGGCTATGCACTTTCCGCAACGCCCGATGGGACGCATTACTGGCCAAGCCCGCCTCACTTTTCAGTTAGGTAAACAGCAAGGCTGTGGAGATGTATTCCGGGGAGGGCCCTATTCTGCAGGAGGATAATGCCACTATAACAAGGCTAATCGGCCTGAGTTATAGATCATTGCGAGCAAATGATGACGGGTCATTCCCAAGAAGGATAACCAAGCACTGTGGATGTCACATGGCGACTGCATATACAGGGGTCAACAACAGCCACATCCAGATGTAGCAGTTATAGCGTCCAGCACGACCAACATTACGTGGGCCTAATAATCTGAAGATAGCTTTTATTGTAGAACTCACTCTCCATTGTCCGCAATGAGAACGAATAACATCGTCCTGGGCGGTGAGCCTTTCACAGTCGGCAGAAACCGAGCTTCCGCCTGACTTGGCCTCAATGAACCAATGAGGTCATGACGAGACAGCTGTCCGCCCTGAGCCTGACGCAGGCGCATTTACCACGTACAAAGGCTCAATGGCCTTACGTTCATCTCATCCTGATCGTCGGTGACCATCTCACATGCCTTCTTCAGATGCCTCTCACTTCTTCCTTATATCTGATATTCCTTCCATGCCACTTTTTTGGTTATTTTTTGGTGCCCATCCCGATAAACCACCATGCCGCCACCATCACTTTTGCAGCTCTGCACGGCGACTGCGATTAGGAACGTGAAACGTATGCAACGCCCAATCTCACCCCTAGAAGACCTCAACAGAGTACTAACAAATCGACGCTTATACAGAGTTAAATGACATCGGCAACATTCCCTATGTACTTGCTCGTCCATTTCTACTGAAAGTGGAGAGTCCTGAGAAACTGGTGAGTCTGTAGCGGAAATCTCCCGTCCATCGTCAGTGCCCCCTTTGACTAACAGGCAAACTCACCCCACATTACAGAGAACTCTGGAGCTACAGTCCCCACATTTGATGCGAGATGACGAGGAACTCTGGCTAGAGTTCATTAAAAGAGATATCCCGCGATGGGACGAATATGATCTGCCTGAGAAACCCGATTGTTGGTATGACGTATATTGTGACCTCCGGGAACAAGTCCAACGGGCAGTGGAAGAGGATGCTGAAAAGCTGAAGATGGCTTTAGATGGCATCAGCTCGGAGCGTCAGGAGAAGAGTGCCAAACTCGTTACCGACCGACGAATTATCGGTCTTCCCCGAGAGAGGCCGACCGCGAGGCAACGATATGCTTCATACGATCGGAGATTTGGCGGCTCACCAACGTCGTCATCCTCAATGCCCCCCTGGGCTTTTGGTAGGCCGAGGGAGACAAAGAAGAAGAATAGTATATTCACGGCGACGAAGAGGAATAACGTTCTTGCTGTGCCCACAAAGCACCTTAATAACAGAGCTACCCAGGTCAGACAGGCTCCGCGCTCTCTTATCGAAGACCATATACGTCCTGCTGAGCCCCCTGTCGCTCGACGCAAGGAGGCCCCAGCTCTGAGGGTGCCCGGTCGATCGCGTCCCCAGATGAGTGCGCCCTCCGTGAGCCAGAATAGTCTGGAAGTTGGTCCCAGCTTGCGGGAAAGAGAGGCTCGTTTACGAGCAATAACCCAATCGTATAGCCCTGCCACATCCGATAGGCCTATGGCAGGAAGAAGTGCACAGACATCACAGCCAACGAGAGGCCCGTCCGGGTCTCTATCAGGGGCTGCGGTCAAGAAACAGACCTCCCAACCGCTCGGTAGCAGTGCGACTGGCTCTCATCAGAAGTCTGCCGTAGAGGACATGCCAGCGTCTCCGCCACAGCCACCCCGTCCGGCAGTGGTCCGCAAACGTCCTGCCCCGAACCTCTTCATTCAACCAAAGAAGAAGAAACTGAACTGATTGGACATATGCTGGTCCCAAGAAGTCAACCTGCATTATTAGATACACAAATCACTCATAATATATAGGAATGGCGTTCAGTACTGGCGTGAGTCTGGTTCATCGTTTCAGCTGATGGCGTTTTGCAAATGATACCACAGAAGGCGTTCTTTCGATCTCATATACCTGGATCTCGCAGGCTCAGGTCGGGTGCTATAATAGGCATTTTGCATCTTCCACTGGGGATCTCACAACTTATATCGGTAGTCTGCTGCGCAGCAATATGTTTGGCGAATTCGATGAAGTGCAACCTTTGGTTCTCGAGCATATCATCCCTTGTCTCTATATCAATCATGTTTATACCCTCCTCTTATCACATTACAGGCTGCCCACTCAGTCTCAACTTATATAAGAAACCAATCACACATATCAATCCCCACTCCCCATCTTCACAGGGGATATCAGATGATCAACTCCACTAACCCATCTCCATCTTCTGTAAAGTGTATGTAAAAAACTGTCATTACTGCATTGTTGGTTTGTAGCTCATTAAAACCCCCCACCCAGCCCCGGGATCGAAACCTACATGCATGCTCATAGCCCCGAAACAAGAAACCAACGCTACAAAGCGTTCAGAATACCGGCCCTGAAGCACCATACAGATATTTTCCTCTTTACTCCATCCCCCTTCTGTCACACCACACACATTCACAAGCATCCACCACGCAGGGCAAGAACAAGGTGTAGCGTGGCACCACCTTCCAGGTTATATTCCGAAGCAGTCTTGTCGTCGGCCCTATGGTCACAGAAGTCTATCTATCAGCACTGGTGATCTATAACATAGCGATCATACATCCCCCGGGATTAGGAATAGGGAAATACGGGTATATGCATACATCTGCTTTCCACCGAAAATCAGTCGCTGCTGAACAGGAGGAATACCCTCTTTCTCTTCGACGCGCTCCTTTATCCGGGAAACCTGCGCAAGTAATTGTCAGCGATCGGTTGCGCGAAGAATGTATCAGTAGGGTAGATGGGTAGCTGGTCGTGTGTGAGCGGAGGTTATTGCAGCCCGGCTGGATAGGCCAGCTAGGCTAGCTAAACAATCACCACGCGCGGATTGGGCGAGATCGCAAGAATAGATGTTGTCTGTGAATGGGTGCGTGTATGTATGTACCTTGTAATCAGGCTCGATGTCCAACTCGATCTCCTTTCCGGTAAGGGTACGGACTCTGTTGAGGTTGACACCGGTTAACATTTGCTATCGCGACAGAGGGGAGGCTATCTGCGTCATGGGGGCGGAGGACAACAACTCACTTGATCAACATTTTTGAGGTAAGATAGATAGCGACTGTAAGGTATTCGTAGAGTTTAAGTTGTTATAGTAGTAGAGGAAATAATAAGGACGAGTAATTTTTCAAGGAACAAAACGCTCTAATATAATAGTAGCGAAGAGAACGACGATGTTGGTGGTGGTGGAGGTTGTTGTTGACTGGGCTCAGCTGGTGACGGAAAGCTTCGGCGGGGTTTTTGGTGGGGCATCAAAATAACTACGGAGTAAGCCGCTTCATTGTGACTAGTTAACTACTTTTGCCCCGGCCGAGATGAACGTCGGTGTTCGGGTTGTATGAGAGGGTGTAGTAGTTTATATGGTTTTGTTGGATTGTATTGAGTAATGGTGATTTTCTTTTACTTGTTAAGTTGCAGATATTCTGCGCTAATTGTTCGAAATATGCTTCGGCTGCTTGTAATGGTCTCAATGTACCCTGAACGGGACTGGGATATATATAGCACCAGCCCTTGGCGATCTGTTCAATCCTACTCAAACATCCCTCAAACACCACCATTCTACGAAATTGCTCAAAAAGCACACTGTCAATAGGCGTCACATCCTGCACCATGGAAAGCACTGTCGAAGAAGCCAATCCATTTGACGTTCTCATTGCAGAATGTCAAGATGACCCAGTACAACTCCCAACAGCTCTTTTAAGAACAACATTCCTGATAAACCCGATCACAGAAACAAGTCCAAGCTCGATATGAAGCTCACCGGTCCAACCGCAACAAGCAATACAGAGAAAAGCTCCTCAGCCCCGATTTCAAAGGCTGGCAGCTTGACGATATCCTGAAAAAGTTGCATGCAAGCGCCAACGGCGAAACACTGCCTTTTGTCGATCCTCGGCATAACCTCACACTATACGCTCGACCCCCGCAGCATATCCGGGACTTAGTCGCTGAGGTCCAACAGGCCATTCGAGAAATTGCCCCAAGTTAGTTCTATCTTGCCTTTGCGGGGCACTCTCTGTATCCCCTGTGCTGTATTGCCTGGTTCAACTGATCGGTTCCATTTCACCCCTTTTTGCTAGGCATATGGTTCACACCCCCAGAGCAATTGCATATGACTACATTAGAGATCGCCAGCTGTCGACCTGAGCCGGAGGTTGAAGGATTGGTTTCTCATCTCCAGGGTAGTGGCGTCGTGCCGAAGCTGGTGGATTTTCTATTTCATCATCGAACACGGCTGATTAAGCCTTTGATCAGTTACGATGCAACTGCCATGGCGCTGAGTTTTGTCCCTGCTGCTGGAGAAGAGACTACAACTGCCCACAATGTGGACGGCGATGGATACACTTATCACCATCTGCGACGTAATGTTTCGAGTATTGTCACAGCGACGGGATTGCAGATGAAACCGAGGTATATTGCACTCTCAGCACATATTACGATTGCGCGGTTCATCACCCGGGACGGATTTTTGATAGACAACCCCAATGAAGCGGAAGACGAAGCGGTGGACCATGCGCGGGTGGCCGCACTGGTAGAGAGGGTGGAGAAGATTAATGAGATGCTCCGGACGAAATACTGGTTTCAAGGAGACGGAGCCATCTCTGGGAAAGGGGAATGGCTTGTCGGACAGGAAAAAGGGCTGGAATTTTGTAAAGGAACGTCTTTCTACGGCGGAGGAGAAGCCGTTGTTGTCGGCAAAGGCTTTCAGTAAAGGGTCTCTGATTAGCAACAACCCAGTACGAATAACCTAGACAGTGGGTGAGCGAATGAATACGATTCGATAGATAACTATGGGGATGGTATGGGTCTTTGCCTGAGGCAGCCACTAACCACGGGCGGTCTTGGCGGGTGGCACACAAACGCGGTTAGGCCGCACCCTAAGCGAACGAAATCCCACAACACACGGCCAGCCCAACTCGATCCTCCCGACAAGAGACTATCAACGACCACCAAGTTCGCGATCCGGCCAAGTCAGTCAAAATGGTAAGGATATTGTTCTGATCGTTTATCAGTCTTATTTCCGTGTTCCTGGGCGTCGGAGAAGTGTTTTCGGTCAATCGACATACTACGAGATGGGACGATATACGGCAATCTTTTTTCCACGGCGAACCGAGTTGAAAAGCGGCACTATACGAAGCGCAACGATCGAAGCTGCAAAACGAAAATCCTGAGCTGTCAAAATAAATGCAAAATGGTTAAAAGAGATGGAATTTTCGACCGGGGAAATGCCCCGCGATTAATTGTGGGATGAAGTGAGAGATGCTGAGTGCGACCGAAACCATTGAAAAATCGAACTGCTCTTGAGTGACGACACCCTTGCTATATCAGCATCTGCTTTTTTCTCGCTTCTTCGAACCAATACCATTCCCACCGTGAAACACCATCTCCGACGACGAGGAACTCAGGAACAGACTGCGGACGTTCTATAATACCATCCTACCACAGCAGGGGCTGATCAAACTTCTCTCGCTTTCAGGTCAACGTTCCGAAAACCCGCCGGACGTACTGCAAGTCCAAGGAGTGCCACAAGCACACCCAGCACAAGGTCACCCAGTACAAGGCTGGAAAGGTGAACACTGCCCAAGCAACCGAGCCTACCGCGCGACCTATGCTGATGCAATCATGATTCTCTACAGGCCTCCCTGTTCGCCCAGGGTAAGCGTCGTTACGACCGGAAGCAGAGCGGTTATGGTGGTCAGACCAAGCCCGTCTTCCACAAGAAGGCCAAGACCACCAAGAAGATCGTTCTCCGTCTTGAGTGCACTGCTTGCAAGACCAAGAAGCAGCTTTCTCTGAAGCGCTGCAAGCACTTCGAGCTTGGGTACGTTCTTCTGCCTAGCATACAATCGATAGGTGATGCTAACCACATCTTTTTCTTTCTCAACAGTGGTGACAAGAAGACCAAGGGTGCTGCTCTTGTCTTCTAAATTTGCGGTTTTCTTGTTCGGCTCTGGGTTTCATGCATTGCACAGACCGCAATGCTGCGGCGGCGGCTATGACATCGGCAATGGAAGATGGAATAGGATCTCATATTCAAGAAAAAAATGAAAGAATATATGACTCCTAGTTGATGAGTCTCTTGACGAACTATTGTGCTGCATCGTGGTGTAGGGAGTGTAGAGAAGATGAATTTCCCTGAAATTAACGTGACGTAGAGCACTATAACCCGGCTGCGCCTTATCTTGATATCGTCAAGGGTCTTGCCTTACCAACAGCGTTATCATCTACCACGACTCATGTTCCCACCCAAGTGTCTGATAAGACGCGCTAAACTACTCCGAGATTATAGTATGTCCGGAAAATGTTGAACGCACCAAGTGTTAGTCGCCTCGATTAAGATTAGAAGGTTATCAACTATCTACCTAGCATCTATCATCACAGGATCTATATGATTCCGAAGCTAGGGCAGAATTACCGTAGTTTCAGCCTCAATGTTCAAATCATCTATTTTCCTCCTTGAAGTATCTATAAGCGTATAGAAATATCAAAGTCTGGCCTAATCTGCAACATATTGGACGGTTCCTGTATAGCCTCCACATGCGATGAAACTTACTAAGATTCGTTCGGGCTTGTTAGCTATTTTATGACGATAAAGAAGCTGTCTGTGAAACGTTGAGCCATAATCAAAAAGGGATTTGTTCATTCTATTAGTGCTAGCTAAGTACCGTAATGAAAAGGGCACTACCGCTATGCAGTTCTGCAACCAGCGGGTGCGGCGGTCAATGATCAGTTTTCTGCCACCAAGAGAAAACGAACAGTTTCGCAACTGAGTTTTCTGGGACTGTAGTTTCTTAAATCCGCTTAAACCCGGGGTTTTGGAACGAGGTTCGCTAGGTTCTGCCGCTTGAGGCGGTATAGGAAGCGGTGAGATATTGGCTCTTCAATGGTTCTTGGGGTACGGAGTACGGTGATGGGATTGATTGTAGGACCTTGAGGCTCATTGATCAGAAGAAAGCAGGCTTGAAGTACTCTGTAGCTATTTAAGGATGGGAAGCTATTCTGTGGTCTTTTACTGTGTTTGAGGTCTTCGATATGGCATACACACAACACGTAGCTAGCTAGCTCCTCTGCCAAAGAATACCACCTCATTTGCTTCCTCCGTGGAGTACTCCGTTCGCCAGTCACACAACACACAGCCGCTACGCCATACATTGACCTTGGAAGAATTCCATCGTTGGACTTTTGCTTAATTGCTACTCTGTACTAGACAGTATTTGGACACCCAGTGAATTTACTCCTTCACTAGCTAGCTAGTACTCTATACAGAGACACTTCTTCTCCAACCAGTCGGACAAGCCGACCAATTTGATGAAAAAGGTGTTCGCGTCGATCGGGGGTAGTGTAAGCCCGATGACACTGTGTAGCAAGACATGCGCAAGCACAGAGGTCCCGCCACGGGGTGCAAAAATAAGATTAATCAATGTTGTGTTCCTTAGAACACTTTCAGAGATTAAACTGAAAAGAACAGATACTACACTTGATCTAAGCCAAAAGGCAAAGAGAGCTGGAGAAGAAAAGAAGAAAAAGTCTAAAGAGAGGGCGGGTGCAGCGAGACTTTATACCCTGGCGGCTTGGGTGGAATGGCACTAGTGTGACTAGTGTCGATTAAGCGAGGAATTTGCCGGGTGTTGTGTAGTGGGAAGCGAGTCCTTCCGCTTTGGGGTTAGTGGATTGGTGCCTGTTTGTCTACGGAGTAGGCCGTTAATGGGTTTGCGGAGTATACTGGCGAGATGTTTCTGACTGTCCCTTCACCAACTTTGATTGTTGCATCGATTTTAGGGTGGTTAGGTCTCCATGGAATCAAAGCTGTGACATACTACCAGTCTAGATTTGCCATACAGTGGGCATGAAGCGGGTATGTCTTCACTGGTAGTAGTACCACTAGTCTTATAGCTGTGTTAGATATATATTATATGGTGCATCTAATAGTCACAATACTAGTGCTGTAAATATACGTAGGCTTAGAAAAGTGGCATGATGACTGCAGTAGTGTTATCGATCTCGGAGATTAGACAAAAATCCAGCCTAGCACGATCTACTCTCAACCCTTGTACATGAGTTTTCTACAAATCATGTGTTGTTTCCATGTACACATGGCTGCAGAGGGGGGAAGTAATCAATTGCGGGAAGTCACAAGACGACGGACTTTTGGACATTTCGAACATTGGAAAAGATCTCCCCTTTCCCCTCCCGTAATCACTCTAGTTCGCACTTTCTTTGGAACACACTTCTCCAATTGCTCAAGCCTTTTTTGGTGTGATTGTCGCTCCAGTCTTTGCTCTAACCGCGTTGAAAAGTATGCCGCATGGATCAAGCTCACTCCAACCATTCTTCCGGCCGATAGAAGAGACAAGTCAATG